GGACTGKAAGATGGGATTTCATTGGCTACCAGGTTATCTGCTCTGTTAGTCCGTCTGCGGTTCGATGTGTTGCAACGTGTAAGAACTAGCCCTCTGTTTTGGATAACGGACCATTGAGCATCCTATGTACTAAGGAMTACTGGTCRTTCGGACCGGACMARCATAAGAAGGCGTACCTAAAAAGCCAGGTCCATAGGCTGATTACCCACTCCTCAAAGTATGGGGGGGGGGTATGGCTCTGGTATCCGTAAGGCGAGAAATGCAGCTTAAAAGCTTTCCCGGCTACCTCTTCTTCAAAACAGTCCGGGAGGTTTCCGAAAACCATAATGAGGTACTGGACAGGTGGGCGGATATTTTGGAGCTGAGCCTTGGGACGAGCAAGAAGGGAAACATGTTTGGCCGCCAAAAAACGGAATACAGCCTGCTGATATGAACCTGGTATATTTCTCGGTTAGATTCTGGGTGTGTAGGTTTGTAGGAAACCTCGGAATCCTGGGACGGTTTTTTATGAAAAAACGACAAAAAAAAGGGTGTGTAGCTAGCATGCGTGAACCTAGTGGGGTTTTTTCGTTTGGTATAAGGATGGGACTGCAGCTTATGATATTGCTCCTGGCGCGCTGGTATCTCTGGGTGATATTGCCTGCATACTAGATTGCAATCCTGATGCTGCGTCAATATAAACCTGCATATGTTTTCGTCGTTTTTGTGCTTCGTCTTCTTCCTCATCATCTCGGCGTTCTCCCTTCAGTGTGTTATGTGGTCTCTGACCTCTGATCTCCTGCCTCTGATCTCCTTGATCCTAGCCGCGCAATTGTACTGCTTCATCGGAACCACATCTCCCTGCTGCCACCGCTGTGTCTGAACTTCCCGCTCTACCCGCCTCCRTATCTCGAACTCCTGATTGCCGCCCTCCTGCTCCTGCAGACTGATCTCCTCCTTTCCCGCCTTTAGTCGGGTTGAACTTACCGCGTAAGCATGGAAAGGCGACGTCATAGTAGTATTTATTGGGCTTGTCTCAAGGGTTTGTCAAGCGCTCAGTCTCCTGATGATGACTCTAAACCAGCGGTAGAGCCGAAACCAGTCGAGACATTCGCCAAGGTTGTTCTTCGCCCATGATTTTTTTCGGAAGAAGGCCGTATTTTTCTACGCTCCCCTCTCCTTCTTTCCTCCCCCTCTCCTTTTTTCCTCCCCCTCTTTTCTTCTTCTTCTTCTTCTACTACTTTTTTTTTTTTTTTTTTTTTTTTTTTTTTTTTTTTTTTTTTTTTTTTTTTTTTTCTTCTTCTTCTTCTTCTTCTTCTTCCCTTTTCTACTCTTCCTTTCCTCCTTGTATTCCTCTTCCCTTCTTTCGTCTTCCTTCTCTTCTTCGGCCACGATTCTTCGTCCTCCACATTCCGTCCTCTCCTCTCTCCTTTCCCGTGGCTGGTTGAACTTGCTTGGTTTAATGGTGTTCGAGAGCAAAGATTGTTATGGTGTGTGATCCGCGTGAGGCTGAGAACTTTGGGTCGACCACGGGTTTTTTCCCGTTGTTACTAAGTCGCGTGAGGATACACACACACAGACACACACACACACACACACACACACATACATCTTCAAACGCCAAATTAAAAGAAAAATTGAAACAACAACATACATCTTGAAAAAGAAGAAAAATAAAAACGTCGGATGCCAAATTTAAAATATAAAAAAGAAAATGAGCACAGATTTTGTAAACTGATTATCACTCTGTCCCTCTCAAAACTTATGCTGAGATCATTTTCGAATTGCACATCAACGATAATGCACAAGAAGAAGGACAAGGTATTGGAGAAGAAGAAGGAGAAGAAGAAGAAGGAGAAGGAGAAGAAGAATAAATGTAATGAATGGAAGAAGAAGAAGGAGAACGAAATAAAGGAGTAGAAGAAAACACATGAAAAAAAATAGTGAAAACTAAGCGTAAAACAACCTAAAACTCGTCACCACCACCCCCGCTCCCGCCCCCGCCCCCGCCCCTGCCCCCGCCCCCGCCCCCATCTCCTCCTTCATCGCTCGAAGTAAAAGGACTGTGGTTAGTCCCGTTAGTGCTTATGGAACCGGCCCCCGCCCCCATCTCCTCCTTCATCGCTCGAAGTAAAAGGACTGTGGTTAGTCCCGTTAGTGCTTATGGAACCGGCCGTCCAATCGACGGGGTCAGCACCCCATCCCGGCGGACCATGCTCCCACCCAGATCCATTCGTAGTTGCCCAGCCCCTGCCATTGCTCGCTAAACCCCACCCGCCTCCGCCTTCCGCTTGGGTCAAGGTTCCCCAACCCCCGCCATCGCCTCCTTCGTTTGTCACTTCACTGCCCCCCCCCACCGCCAACAACGACCTGCCCACCCGCATTCTGCCCCAACGGAGCAGCGACTGAGCAAGCGGAACCAGTGTGGCCATGCATCGTGGATGACGTGGTGGTTGACGGGGCTGCCACGTCGGCAACCGTCGTGCTAACCACGTCACCCCCTTGTGCGGGGTTATCCGCTCTCCTGTTTCACAAGGCACCTCTGGTCTCTCTCTGCCAGGACTAGTTCTTCTTATCTTCTTCTTCTTCTTCTTCTTCTTCTTCTTCTTCT